AAGGCTTTCAAATAAGTCATGGCTGTACGGCAGTGAAGCATTGGTGTTGAGCACTGATGTCATGCTGTCGTTGATGATGATGATGATGATGAGGTGAATTCCTCTGTTGTTGAAAATCAATTCTTCACATTAAACCCGCCTCAGAAGGATAGTTAAAAAGCCCGAATGGAGTGATCAAAGGTAAGCTGGTCAGACCTTCAATAAAAAATGGTTCCCTCGAACCCTAATGTTAAATTCTGTTTGCGGTCGGACTTGGAAGATAACTGAAGGAAGAAGGAACTCCGCAAGTGTTGACAGTGCAGACAGGCCAACAGAACTCGAAAGCAAGGCAGAGAACGTATCAGGGAAAGTAAGCTGAACTTACCGCAGAGCGCAGACCCGAGTGTCCCACACAAAAGCTTCCGTCTCTGCGACGTCGTTGTTGATAACCTGGGATCCTCCTATGCAGTGCAGGTAATCAGGCTCAGAAGAGCAGTTATTCTGCCCGGATGTATCGACATTTTTCGTCCCAACATCTACGTTACTCTAAAATGAAACCAGAGAAGCACTTTTGTCATACACGGCTTGCGAAATTAAATAACTGATGTGTGGATAGGTCCTAGACTGTCGGCAACGGACGGCTGTTTGGTCGTAAGACATGTGCCCAAGCCATCCGCTGATGCCCGTCGTGGAAACGGAAGATGCGAGATAGCCTGATGAAATGCGATGATGCCTCACGTAAGTTGTGTCCCAGAACACATTATCCACGGCCTGAAACAAAAATCCACTAATCTAGATCGAGAAATGCTAAATTCATGTCAGTTTATGGTTATCAGGAGACCCATTTAAAGTAGTTCGCTGACTCCACTGTATTTGATAACATTTGAGATTTCTCGGTGCAGTACTAACTGACTACACCAACGGCCACCAGACGTCGGTGGTAGCTTGCCAGATCCACAACTGATACGATGAATTGTAAGGATAAGCGAACACCAGAGTAATTGTGGCTGCGGGTTTATGCCACTAAATGGTATTGGCTTTCATCAAATTGATATCATCCTGTCCGCTTTGTTATCTAAATTTGACGAAAGGAGACAAGTAAACCGTGGATTCCACTTGCGAATGTAAGAAAACAAAATACACTATGTGGTTGTTAATACACACCCACCTGCTGCTCATTCAGATTGCACGAAAATGTTTGGTCTGTATGGGGAACTATGAGCTTCGCTCCAAACAGATGTGGGGGGTAAGGAACGCCGATAGGCTGCATCGCCTGACAGAGCCAAAAGTCCAGACGCTCCACACAGGCCTGAGCCAGAAATGAGAGATCTGCTCGTCGTATAACGGTGATGCACAGCTAAAGAGACCAGAAAGTAATATCCATGACAGATTAGCTGGCTAGAAAAGGTGTAAGGAATTACATGAACTGACAAGAAAACCCTCGCGTATTTCCAGTGGATTAACAACAGAATAAAAACCAACAACTTCCACCGCAAAATGGCAACTCCAAAATATGAAAAGGATAATTCAGTGAGTCATAATTGAGCAGCTTACCTTCGTTGCTTTACTGCGAACTTGATCAGTTGACTCAAGAAGTATCCTATGAAAAAGCTGGTCAACAACCAGCAGGAGCAGCGGAGGAGTCAGTTCGAGTTTCTGGGATGCGAAGAAAAACGCCTGCGTAAGTTCGTTCGTAAAGCAGGGGGCGAAAACACAACTCCCATTATAGAGATTTGAAGACACTATTTCGGAGAACTATTGCCAGAAGTGCTAGTTGTAAAAGAGCCGTGCATCAGGAGGAACACACGTAAGCAATGTACACAGGCGCGGTAGCCTAACAGGGACAGCCGATAGTTATATCCATTTCGGCCTGCTGCCCAACCCACTGGCTGTTTCACTCAAAGCAGACTAAAATGAACACATACAAACATGTTAACTTCATTGAAGCCCAACCTAAATAAACCACTAAGCGTTAAAACTCTAGAAGATGGTCCTTAGAGTAATCCGTATGAAGTGCACCATAAATCATTGTGCATGTCTCACAAGGTCTCTCAAGGGTATTCCCGCTTCACTGAATTAAGTTTTCGAGGTTTATCAACTTCGTTTCACTATCAAGTGAACTCCCCGCTGGGTTTCTACACCATTACTTGTGGAAATAATTGTGAGCCAGCGAACGAATAAAACCCCAAAGAGGATCCCTAGAAATGTTATGAACTCCGGTTGAGGGAATGTTACGCCCCTTCACCGGAACTTAGCATCGAAACAGTACGGATGAGATGAAATAGAGGATTCATACCAAAATTCCTACAGCATCAAAATGCGAAATATTCAGTTATCCACGTGCGGGTTACCGACCTCTGGTTCGAATCTACTCTTAACGTTTGCGTCATTTCTGGTTACATTTGGGTGGTCTGATTGCACGTCAATCGATGTAACATGATTTCGGCACAAGGTTCAGTTTTACAAAAGCCACATACCATGGAGTGGCACCGTTTCCGAAATCGTTTGTTGCTATGCTTGACAAATGATAAAAATGGAATAATCCGTAGTCGAGAATGAATTTGAGAAAAGATGCACCCAAGAGGGTACATATAAGATCACTATCAACTTTCAAAACCGAAGTAAACTGAAATTCACGCACGAACAATACATCATTATGACAGGAGGATGACAAACATTACTCAAGTATGACAACGAGTGATCCACCAGTGGCAAGGTCAAACTACTGATGAAGAGGCAACTAACCTGGGAATCTAATGCGTCCAAAAAACACTCCAGGGTGGCCAAGGCGTGCTGCCGAATGCCACAGGAGACGTGGTGCAATAGACGAGTAACCGTTTGGATTTCTGTTGAAAACCAATCCGTTGCCGCCCCGCTGTACCAGAAGTAATGAGATGTCACAAACATTATACAGATGGGAGCAGAATAGTCAAGCACGGATGAGCACAAGAAAGACTACGAAAACTATGTGGAATTCACCTTAGAGAGAAATACCCGTTGAACACCAAGTTACTCCTGACCGTGTATGCCCCCACGAGACTACGAAATGAGATAGAAGATAAGACCCAAAATTCCTTCCAGAGAAAATCGATCACCGTACAATAATAAGATGAACCACCATGAAGAACCTCTTACTTAACAGAATCAACATCATCAGGTTGGCGAATAGAAATTTCATAAGCCTCATTAGACGAGGTGAAATAAACAGAACAATAACGCGTACTTAATGAGAAACTCACACACACCGAGGGAGACGCAATGCAGAAGTAAAAGTTCGCTATTGCTTATTCAGGTTGCTGAACTAACCTCCCTTACCACTAGTTCTAAATTTCATGAACAATAGAGGCCTCCTCGTCCGCCGAAAAAAGGGGTTTCATGTATATATATATATATATATATATATATATATATAAAGCACACCCACAAAATCGCCGAGATA